CTGGGCACCGTGGCTGGCAGCCCCTCTTCCACCCAGGCCTCCTGGAAAGTCTTTGAGGTCACCAGCCTGCTCCGGTCCTGGCTCCACCAAGCCCTGGCCCCTGGCCACCGCAGTCCCATGGGAAAGGAGCAGTGGGAGGCGAGTGCATCAGCCACCCCGGCCACCACCACGATGCGCTCACCCACCTCGAGCGAAGCTGGCCACGGGGAGCCAGCCCTGCCCCAGGACGTGATGGACAGAGTCCTGCTACTCGTCTTCTCCAGGGACAAGTCTCCGGGAGACCACAGCCTCATCAGGACAGCGGAGACCTCCAAGCACGTCATGCGTGACAGCAGCTCCCAGGGCACGGGGACCCGCCGGCACCGCAGGAACAGGAAGGAGAAGCAAAGGATCAAAGTGAGCGACGCTGCCACTGCCATCCCGGGGGAGGAGGGCAGGTCCTTGTGCAGGAGGGTGGACATGATGGTGGATTTCGAGCAGACTGGCTGGGGGAGCTGGATCGTCTACCCCAAAAAGTACAACGCCTACCGGTGTGAGGGGCAGTGTCCATCTCCCGTGGACGAGACCTTCAAACCCACCAACCACGCCTACATACAGGTAAGAGGGGGTTGCTGCCTCCACTCCCCTCGCGCACCCCAGCCTGCCGGCCCGCGGCAGGGAGTGATGCTTTGCCCTTCCCGTGTCTCCCCATAGAGTTTGCTGCAGCTCTACAAGCCCAACCAGGTGCCCTGCCCCGCCTGCTCCCCGGTCAGGATGAGTCCCCTCTCCATGCTCTACTACGAGAAGGGCGAAATCGTCGTCCGCCACCACGAGGACATGATCATCGAGGAGTGCGGCTGCAACTGAGGCCAGCTCGTCCCCTGCCGAGAAGGGGCACATCTCTGCCCAGAAAGCATCCCCGAGGACTGGCTGCCCAACCCACAACCAACGCACAGCCTGGGGCATCGCAGAGCCCACACCACCTCAGAATCCTGCGTGCCCATGGGTTGGTGAAGCTCTGGCTGTGCCAGGGCAGGAGCGGGGTGGCCAGGCATTAGCAGCTCTGCAGCGCTGCGCGGCTGCGATACGTGGATGGATCCAGGCTCTGTGCAGGGAAGAGCCTGGATCTTCCCAGGCTCTTCTGGGAGGGAGGCGTCTGATGGCAGACGCCTCCCTCCGGCGCCGGTGGCAGCACCGAGGAGGCAGGTGCCCGAAGCGTGCATTTCG